TAGTCCCTAGTCTTAGGTGTTGGGTATGGTAACTTATCAAAAGATTCTTCTACCAAGCTATACCTGTTGAGCCATCAATTGAGCCGATTATACTAACTAAGGGTGTTTATGGTTCGGTTTGAATCGGTTTTTCTCTAAAAAAAATACCAAAGTAAGTAAGTCGGTTTCCCAAATGTTAGAACCAAATCAAACCAATTAAGTCTGTTTTTCCTCGATTCGGTTTATGTCGGGTTTTGTCGGTTTTTCAGTTTTTTCGGTTATTTGTCGGTTTTTTCTTAAATATAAGACACACACTACCAAACACATATTCCAGCGACCACATTTTCAACGTAACACTATCAATTCAATTGCCCTTTGAGAAATTTACTATTTACCAAGATATATTGATGATAATTTAATCAAATAGTGATGAATAATTTAAGGACTCTATTAAAAATATATTATTTTTAACACGAAATAGATTCTTACACTTAACAAAAGAAATCTACCAATCAAACTAGAATGTAAAGGTAAAACACTATACTAAAAGTGCAAACTATTAACATTTACCATAAATTTTTTGAAACTTTGTATAAAAATATACATATATATAAATGTAATAATAAATTTGAAATAGCTAATCCTACAGTCGGTTTGGTTCGGTTTTTTTCGGAATAAAACCAAAACCAAATTAAATTTGATCGGTTTTTAAAATTCAAAACTAAAACTAAACCAAACCAAAAAGTATCGATTTTTTTGGTCGATTTGGTTTGGTTTTCGGTTTGGTTCAGTTTTTCGGGTTTTTATGAACACCCCTAATACTAACATTGTAAGTTTAGCCATCAAATAAGCTTATTTTCAGATATTGTAAACCCCCTCCCCAAGTTTCGGGTGCTTCATAGGAAGTTCCGGGGAAATGGGAAACCTCTAATAGGATAAATCTTGACAGGAATTCTTAGCGGGAAAGATTGCTCTTTTATATACCCAAAATAGCGATGATTTGACATGTGATTGATGAGAAACGTGTCCAATCTCTTATTAATGTTCTTGACATGTGGCCAAATATCATACGCTCTGTTGCCAATAGCAATTTCCCTGGCAATGATAGCTACTTATAGTGATTGATGCGAGCCTCATTCTCTACTGACATTGATGTCATTGCTTTTATCTTTCTTTAGTTGCATCTTTGTTTTAAATATATGCAATTGATGTCATTGCTTTTATCTTTCTTTAGTTGCATCTTTGTTTTATCCTCTTTGTATTTTCTCTATGTTTATCTTTCTTTGTTTTACAAAAGTCTATGGATAAACAAGAGATAAATCCTAGTAATGCTACTGTGTTAGAGGCTTTATTCTCTTTGGCATTGGGGTCCTCTGCGGAGCAGCGGAGTCCACGCAAAGTAACTGGAAGAATGTTGTTAAAGCTTCTTCAAGCAAAAGTGCAAAAATGGAAGTTGAGCCTACAATATCCGATGTTTTATCTAGGGGAGTTAACACTTGGACAGATGGTGGTGTATTGAACAGCACCACATATCCTGTGGATACGCTTTCCTCCTTGGTGCGCCCCGAACATCTCCTTCTACTGAAGGACGAATGTGGCTGGGAAGATTTGAATGTCAAGTGCCATTGGGCTTTGAGCGTATATCAAGTTCTAGAGAAGGTTTTAAATTCAAGTATATCTACCCCTTCACTTTGAAGTTTAACCTTCCGATTGACTCCATATTTTGGGATCTCTACAGGCACTTCAACGTCTGCCTAGCCCAGGTTGGACCGACAATTTAGTGGTAAGTGGCTTGCTTCCGCCATTAATCAAACTTGGCTGGTGTAGGCTTTACTCTTCTATATCTCCTTCATTCCTATTCTATAAAGTTGTACCGGGGCAACATCATTGTGCTTTCTAGCCAGAGTACTCGAAAAGTAGTGGACCCTGAGGATGACCATGACAGAGGCTGGCATGACCGCTTTATGCTCGTGTCTACCCATGATTGCTTCGGTTCACCAGGAAGCTATTCTAGGGAAAATGAAATGATACGCAAGAATGTTACTTTTCTTTTGAAACTTTCTTTGTTGCTTTCGGCCTTACTTGAATTTCGAACTACAACTGTTCTTACTTTACTTGCGGAGGCACCCGACATTGAGGAATTCTTTGGGAAGATTTTATCTTGCTCCCCTATGTCGGAGAGGTTCTAGAGGTATATTTATAAGGTTTTCGGGTTGAGGGACAAAGTCCCGGTATGTTCTTGGTTTTCTTATAAACCCTTGTTTGAATTTCTTTTTTGCGATATATTAGTGTATATCCCTCCCTGTGTCGTTCAAGAAAAAACTAAGGAGCTCTCAGCAGCTCAGCGTAGCAAGAAAATCTCTCAAGCTAATGCTTCAATGAGCGCTCTTTCCATCTTTCCTCGGAGGGGGACTCGGTCCAATTTCGCGAAGAGACCTTCCGCAGTCCCAAGCTATTGGCCCCATTCTTATTGATGTTGAGGAGGTGGAATCCTCAGTGGGCTTGGAGAGTAGTTTCCTCAAGGCGGAAGTTTCCCCAAAAATTCCTACGGTTCCGGTATCATCGACTCATGTTATGACTGCGGTAGTCCTCGGTTTGTCTGTCGTCTCGCCAGCTCTGACTCCTTCTCGGGCTGGACCTTCCACGAGCGTCGGTAGGCTTCTCGCTATAGAGGAGGTTTCTGAAGGAGTAGATGCGCGGGGTTTGGAGAGGATGCACATTCAGCTCTCATGAATGATATGACGAGTTACACTCTCCAGATATGCTTTTTCTCACTGCAAAAAATGCTATAATTCCTTCCACTTTTTAAGTTAAAGCGTTTTTCCCCTTTTGTTTATGTTGGGCCACTTAATATATTCACAAGTTTCAAAGAGGGTCAGTCACGATGAAGGGAAGATTTTAGAGTTAAGGAGTATAGTAGAGACGATCGTGGTTGAGGTTTAGAAAGAGCTCATTGAGAGGGTGGCTCATGAACCCCGAGCGAAGAGGATGAACGAAGAATTTGAGCGGATGAGGTCTGAGCTTACCCAGTCTGTTGAGAGGTGTCTTGGCTTGAAGTAATAATTGGTGAGAAGTTGTCCCTCTTGGATCAAGTCTAAGGGCAGCGTGACATCCTTACATCTCGTCTTCGGAGTATAGAAGAAAGGAGAAAGGCTTTGAGGTGTAGAGGCTTAGATGCGAGAAAGATAATTTTATTTTTGACTTGAGGGACCTTGAAATTCATGCTGAGCTTACTGAGCAAGCCATATTTCTAGCCGACTCAAAACGCTCAGGTGGTTCGGGACAGTGACGATCTGGACCTGGATAAGGAGGTAGTAGAGTCCAAAAAAGCATGGAGCTGCTCAATTGGAGCTGGACTTGGATGACATTGACAACTATTCCTCCGGGGATGATTTGGATCCTACCGAGCCATACTACAATNCGGGACATCTTTCATCGCTCCATTGGATCCTTCAGTTGCTTCTTCTTCGGCAAATGCCCATGCAGATACACCAGACTCTTCCTCCTCTAGTGGCTATTGATGAACCCCTGTAATGATTAGTGACTAATTTGTTTCGGTACTTCTTTTCCTTTTCTTTTAGGTTTCTTAGAAGTCTATTTTTAGGAATATCTCTGAGTTTTTGGACATTTTGATTGTTTGTTGAAAATCCCTTCAAGGTTCCGAGATGCTATATTTGAAACCTTCGGGCAATAATTGGCCATTATGCATAAACATCTCTTGTTGTTTTTCCTTATTTGATTCATTGAGGCAATGTTGCTTTTCCAACAATGTGAGTGGGTTTCAACGTGATTGATTGAAACTAAAATGTCTTACTGTTCCCATTTCGGATGTATAATTGATCTGTAGAACAAACCCTTAGCATGAGAACAAGTGCAATGGTATTATTATAAGCTTGTAGGGGCTTTAGGGTCCAAGTACAAAGGTTAGACGAAGGGATAACCCAACCCTGATGTAGGGATAGATTTTTAGGGGCGATGACCATTTTACATAGCTTCCTAGGCACGACTTATTTGGATCCATGTTATGAGGTAGGGCTATCTCGCTCCTCGAATCTTGGTGGATGCCTTCTTATCGTACTTGTGTTCTTAGAGACTTTTTATGACGTCTGTTCTTGGTTTCGACTTTGCCTTTTTAGCTTTAAGCTTCGCCTGACACAATCCCTTAGTGTGCGGGTGGTATCTGTCATTGACAGTTTGATTATCTTCTGTTGGCATTGAGACTTTTGTAATTTTTCTCCCTCCTGTGGTCCTGTTCTTATAGAACAAAGTAAAAAGGACGAGGGGTGTTCTTTTTAGATGAAGACAGCGCCGAAACCCATTTTATTCAAATGCTGATCAAGTCATTGAGGTTCCGCAATTTTACTTATAGTTAGTGTAGTCATTATTATACTATGTAGCCTTTTTGCATGTCATCTAAAAATATTAGTACGGATATAAGAAATATAGTTTGTAATGCGTGCATAAGGAGAATACAAAAACCCTCTTGATTCTAGAAATATAATTGTTTGAGATGAATTGCATTCCAATTTGATTTCACGGGTGTTCCATCCATATAGGGGTGTCAAATGGGCTTGTTGGGTCAATTTTGGGTGGGTCAACATGGGTTGAGTCAATAATTGGGCGGGTCAAATGACCCGCCCAAAAGTTACTTGGGCTAAGATGGGTTGAGTCAAGATGTGTTAAAATTCGGGTCATAACCCAACCCGCCCAACTCTTATTAAACTTTAATTAATATGTGTTATTTTCTTATAAATTGTATAATTACTAAATAAGGCTTTTCTGCTTTTGTTATAGTCATATTTAAAATATTAAACAAAAAATAAAATTATTTCTAAGATATTTTGACAAACTTACTCATAGATCAATTTGGGCTAAAAATTAGCCCAACTTTAAATGATTTGAAATGAATTGGGTCAAGATGAGTTAAGTTCAATAAATGGGCGGGTCAATAACCAACCCAACCTTGGGCGGGTTGGGCAGGACTTGGGCCAAATTTGACAGCCCTACATCCATATCTTCGAGCTTGTAAGATCCTTTCCCCGTTATCTCTATGTTTGGAACGATCATTCCTAGTTGGGTCCAAGCTTTCCTACGTTTGGTTCCTGTGTTGTCGAGAATACACTTTGGAGTACGTAGTCCCCGATCTGGAAGTGTTGGAGGTTGGTTTCTTTATTGTAATATTTCTCAATCTTCTACTTCTAGGTGGCCATTCGGATTAGGGCCAACTCTCAGCGTCCCTCAAGTAAATCCAATTGTGCAATCAGTGTTTCGTTATTGCCTTCTTCCGTAGCGTGAGCAAGCCTTAGGCTAGGTTCCTCTATTTCTGCCGAAATGAGTGCTTTGACACCATATACCAAGGAAAAGAGGGGGTTTTCCGTGCTGGACTTCGTTGTTATTCTGTAGGCCAAAGTACTACAGCCAACTCATCTATCTAGTTGCCCCTAGCTACTTTCAATCTTTTATTTAACGAATTTAGCAAGGCCCTATTCAATAATTTCGCATGTTTGTTTGCTCCGGGATGGTACGATTTGGAGGTAACTCTCTTCATCCTCCAATCCTGGAAGAATTCTACTATTTTGCCTCCGCTAAACTGAGGTCCATTAGCAGAGGTTATTTCCTTTGGAAGTCTAAATCTGTAAATAATGTTCCTTCATATGAAGCCTATGACTTCCTTTTCTCTGATCTGGCCGAATGTGCCAGCTTCTATACATATGGAGAAATAGTCTATAGTCTATGAGTACTAGGAGAAATATTACTTTTCCCGGGGCTTGTGGTAATGGTCTCACAATATCCATCCCTCATTTCATGAAGGACCATGGATCTAGAATTGAGTTAAAAAGCTCCACAGTTGGTGTAATCGTCGAGCGAACCACTGTATTTCCCACATTCTTTTATGAAATCTGCAACATATCGTTTCATCTAGGGTCAAAGGTAACCGGCCCTATAGCTTTTGACATCCCACAAATGGTTTATTTAGTTTTCTTTGTGAACTTCTTGTATCACATAATCAACATATCTGGGCCCAAATACTTGGCCAGTGGGCCGATGTAGGTTTTTCGGTACAAATTGTCTGATACAAGGCAATATTTGGATGTTTTGTTTTCGAGCTTCAGAAATCTTTGATTATCTTTCGGCAATGCTTCATTCTCAAAATAGTCGATGATTGCACCATGCTAATCCTGAACCAGGTGAACTATATTCACCTCATCTTGTTGTTGATTTATGTTTGAGTAGAATAGATGAACCACCGAATTTTCTCTTGATCAATGATGCTTAAAGTTTCCCCTAGCGTGTCTAGGGCATCAACTTTGACTTGTTCTTCCCAAGGTATTTGAGTGGCCTTACATTCACGAAATTGACCAAAGAGGGAAATGACTCTGTTCAAGAACTGCATTATTCGCAAGTCTCATGCCTTGTAAGTCTCCTATACTTGGTTGACTGCTAGTTGTGAGTCGATTTTCAATTCTATATATTCTGCTCCTAGCTCTCTTGCTAGTTCGAGACCTGCGATCACTGCCTCATACTCTGTTGCATTGTTAGTTATAAAATTGTATTTAATGGTTTATCGTACTATTTCAGTGGTCGGGGTAATAACTACATTTCCTAACCCGGATCCTTTGGTACTCAAGGGTCGTCATTGTATAAGGTACAGAGCCTTGGCTTTGTTCTGAAAGTTATCACTTCCTTCTCGGCCTCTGGGAGTATGATCGCACTAAAGTCAGCAACAAAGTTAATTAGGACTTGTGACTTGATGGCGGTGCGAGGTTGATATGTTATATCAAATGCAATTAATTTGATTGCCCATTTGGCAAGCCTCTCGAAAAGATCCAGCTTATGAAGAATATTTTGTGGTGGAAAGGTGGTCACCATGAAGACAGGGTAACATTAGAAGTAAGGCCTTAGTTTCAGGGAGGCCATTACAAGTGCTAAGACTAGTTTCTCTAGGAGAGGATGCCTAGTTTCAGAATCTTTACGTGCCTTATTAACATAGTAGATAGAGGATTGCATACCTTTTTCTTCTCATACCAACACGACACTTACAACAGTTTTAGACATGACTGGATACACCAAAAATTGCTCTACTGGTTGTGGCTTGGATAGGAACGATGGATTCGACAGGTACCTTTTTAGATCCCGGGGTGCTTGTTGACATTTGGGAGTGCGCTCAAAGTCTTTATTCTTCTTTTAATGATGTGAAGATTGTTATATCTTTGTGAGTAACAGGATATGAATTGGCTAAGGGATGTTATCTATCCGGTCAGCCTCATCACCTCTTTCTAGTTTTTCAATATTATTGAGATCTTGTAATGGGTTTTATCTACATGGGGTTATCTTGTATTCCTCTATTTGAGACTAAGAATCTTATTTGAGACTACTCTGAAGGCGCATTTCTCCGGGTTCAACTTCATGTTATACTTTAAAGAACGGTAAATGCTTCCTGTAGCTGATCCAAATGGTCATCTGCTTGGACTGATTTTACCAGTATCTCATCAATATAGACTTCCATCAATTTTTTGATGTAATCTGCAAATATTTGGGTGACGAGCCTTTGGTATGTAGCTCTTCATTTTTAACCCAACTGGAATAACGTTGTAGCAATATGTCCTCCGATCAATTATGAAGGATATCTTTTTCCTAGTCCCCCGAGTCTATTTTTATCTGGTCGTACCCGAAGTATGCATCCAAAAAACTCAATAGTTCATGTTTAGTTGTCGATTCTACGAGTTGATCAATGTTTGGCACTGGAAAAGAATCTTCCGAGCAAGCCTTGTTGAGGTCTTTATAGTCGAAGAACACCCTCCATTTGCCATTTTTCTTGGGAAATACAATGTTGACTAACCAGTCTAGGTACTTCACATCTCGGATGAACCCATTGTTAAGTAATTTGGCTACTTCTTCTTCCACGGTTTTATTTTTTACGGATCCAATGTTTCTCTTCTTTTACTTAATGATGCGACAATTAGGATTGGCATTAAGTTTATGATTCACTACTTCCGATGGGATTCTTTCTATGTCTACATGAGACCAATCAAAATAATCAGAGTTATCACGTAAAAATTCAATTAATTTACGCTTATGTTCGAGGGTCAGCCTCGAACTAATGTAGACCTTCCTTTCTGGTCAATAGAATAAGATCACTTCTTCCAGTTCTTCAATGGTTGACTCGGTGGTAATAGTTTTTTTGGATGGATGATTTGGTCCCCAGGAACTGATGCATCTTGCACTGGGATAGGTTGTTGTTGTTTCTATTTATCTCTCTCCCATTTGGGAAGGGTACTGGTGCCTATGATTGAATTGACCTCTCGGGATATTCTTTGTTCTCCTTGGATTTCTCTGATCCTATATGGTGAAGAGAATTTTATAACTTGGTGAAAGGTTGACAGTACCCCATCCATATCGTGTATCTACGGTCGTCTGAGGACGGCATTGTAGGTCATGTCCCCAACCACGACTTGGAATGGAGTATCTCGAGTTACCTATTCCAGGAAGGTCCTCAAGGTGATTTCGCCTTTAGTCATTTCACTAAAGTTATTGAATCCGGAGAGTAGTAGTGCTTTTGTGATGATCATGTCCTCAATATGTATCTCCTTGATCACTCGCATTTGAATGATGTTGGCCGAGCTACTTGGGTCAACGAAAATATGTCTAACATCAGTATAAAAAATTTGTAAAATAATTACCAGCGCATCGTTATGTGCCATGGGCATTCCATCTGCGTCCTTGTCACTGAATGTGATTTCTTCCTCGACCAGGGTCTGCCAGGTACGCTTCTCACGAGTGATGGGTACCTTGGAGAGCTTCTTCAAGGCCGTGTATGTGACAACATTCACTATTTTGTCTCCAAAGATGACATTAACCAAACACTTTTGAGATGGGGGCCCGCAATGGTTCCTCCTTTTTTCGTTTTTGCATGTACGATTTTTTCCCTATTCACTAAAGCGCTCGGTGAGGTACCCCTATTTTAGGAATGCTCAGTTTTCCTCTATTCTTTCCGTCAGTGTGTAAATCTTTGATTCTATTTTTAAAGATTATTGATCTTCATTTGACTATGAATTTTTTTTTTTGTATTTTTTTCTTTATTTTTCTTTTTGGTATAACATGTATGATTTTGAATATTTGATTTATACTTATCTGTTTTTTCCACTATCTCCATGTTTCTAGGTGGATTTTGAAATACATGTGTTTATTTTATCAATATATTCTAGATTTGAATTGCAATCAGAAACAAAAAGAGTGATTAGCTTGGCTTGGTATACATTGTTCTGATTCTAATGCTCGATATTACTTTCGTTCAATGTGTATCAAGATGAAAGTATGTGTTGTCAGCTATGAAAATTCAGATTTTATCACAATGTAGTATCAACTTTTGTATTAGTTGGATCAGCAACATGAGAATAATTTGAATTCTTTTGGAAGCAAGCTCAAGAATGTAATTGAATTCTCATGGAAGCAAGCTCAAAAATGTAATTATACAACTTTCTTCACAACTAAGTGTACATAGCATGAAGCATATTATATTAATATTTTTCAATATCTAACCATTTTTGTTTTGTAAGACTCTGCAGTCGAAATTGTGTGGTCGTGATCATTATGGAACTCGCACAAGAATTCCTGGCTATGCTTATTTGGGTCCTTTCTCACCTCCTTTCACCACCTAACCTTGTTCCTTATCTCTCTAAGTACTTCACTAGCTCGGTAGTGCTGACGTTGAAGATGTAATAAGTCAACTTGATGTGCCGTAGAATTTCGGTACTTTTGATACCAATTACATAGACTTTAGCTCGTCTTTCAATGCATCTGTAGTTAATTCTTATAAAATTTTGGTGTTTTATAGTGCATGAGACTTGAAGACCCAAAAATATAGAAAAGAAGTCAAAAAGCCATAAAAGGTTAGGAATGCTGCAAGTATGCGACCGCAGAAGTAATATGTGGACCGCATAATCACCGCAAACTGAAGTAGGTTTTTGGCCAACTGAAGAGAAGGATGTGCGGTCCATTATGCAGTTGCATAACACTTTTGCGAGCCGCATAACAATTCTACGAACCACATAGTGACCGCACAATTGCAATTGAAAAACTTGCGTAGCACTTCTGCGATGAAAAATGCAGTCGCATAACTAATATGCGAAAATGTAGTGGAAATCTGGGCTTGAAGATCTGAAATTCTGCGATACAATTGTCAATTATGCAGACTGCATACATGGTCTGCGACCATTATGCGGTTGCAGAAGGGCTCTGCCGGGGCATTTTTGTCCAATCTTGACCCCAACTTGTAGTCCACTATAAATAGATTTACTAGGATTTTTATGGGTCATTGAGTCTGAAGGACTACATTAAAGGAATCAAATATACCATTATTTTTAAAACTTTTGAAGAGAGAATCTTGTACCTTTGTAAGCTTTATGACTTTATTTATTACTTTATTTTTGTATTCTAGTATGAAGCTAACTTTAAATACTAAGGTTGTGGACCCTAAACGGGTGTAATGTTAGTGGGTGTTTAACATTGAATATATATATATATAATGGTTGGTTGATATTTATTCATTCTTATGCTTTATTTATTGTTGGTGGTTGCAAACATTGACTTATTCCATTTTACTCTATCTTTACTTGGAAAAGTGGGTTAGGGTTTGGTAGAAGTGAATATCAAGAACTCAAGGCTTTAAACCTTGTTTAATAGGATCGCTTAGGAATAAGTGGGTCCTACTTGGCATACTTTAGTTATTCTTAATTGTAACTCTTTTATATTTGAGAAAATTATAAAGGGAAAATACTACCCAACTATTGGAAAATATTGGGTAGTTATTTAGAAACCGTTTGCATATCAAAGGACCTTCCATTAGAAATATATCATATTAACACCGATAGCATTACATTTCATTGATGAGGACATAACCTTGGTTTCCTTAACCAAATTAATTACATTCTCACAACAAAATAGTTCTCTTGTTAATTCACAATCATATCATTCTCTTTTTAAGCTAAAAGAATAGAATTACGACTTAAGTCAAGTTTCACACTGTTCAAGTAACCTTTTCACACATATTCTCCAACTTTGTTGGGTTATTATATTTGACACCAACCGCCTTACACTATTTATTTAAGTATAATTTGAGCGTATCAAATTTTGTCGCCGTTGTCGGGAAATACGATTTTGCAATTACTAATTAGTGTGTGCTTTACTTTACGTCTTCTTCTATTTCATCACACTTTGCTTGCTTTGCTAGGTGTTAATAAAAAAACATGGCCGAGTATGACGAAGAAGTGAACCCTTTTGTGGATATAGATTAGTACATTGAGGATACCAATGCCATTGTCCCTCCAAAAGTTGATGCTGCCACTTTTAAGGTGGAACACGGTTTAATCTTAATGCTCAAAGTAGAGGGATTTTTTAGAAATTCCACCAATGATGATCCGACACAACATCTCAGAAACTGTTTGGGTGTGTGTGCGATGCACAAGCAGAACAACATTTCAGATGATGCCCTAAGACTGAGGGTGTTCAAGTACTTACTAGCTGGAGAGGCAAGGAAAATGATCCAAAATCTACCACCAAATTCTATTCATTCTTAGCCTAAACTCGTCCGAGCTTTCCTAGCTAAATGGTTCCCGTAAAGCAAGAAGTCTGAGCTCCGGTATAAAATTTTCTTTTTCAAGCAACTACCGGGAGAACACCTACATGAGGAATGAGATCGATTCAAGCTATATTTAGTGAGGTTGCCGAATCATGGTTTTCTGGAATCTATCTTGTTGGAGAAATTTTACATGGGCACGGATCCTATGAATCAATCTATAGCCAAAAATGCAGTTGATGGATCTTTTATGGATAAAACAATTGCGAGGATCACACAAATCCTTGACAAAATGGCAAAACTTAACCAAGTTTGGCACTCAGAGGACACCACGGGTGGAATTGCATACAGTACTCCTTCCCTGACCAACATGATTAAGGAGAACCAAGAAAGTGATCAAGTAATTGTCGTGCTTTCCACCAACGTCAATGTGTTGACGAAGATGTACACCGAAAGCCAAACAAAAAAGGTAAATGTGGTGGAAGATGTTCAATCCACATCAAATGAGGATTACGAGGAAGCAAATTGTGTCAACAACTCTCAAGGAGGTTATCAAAGGCAGCCCTACCAAGGTTCAGGATAACAAAATCAATGGAGGCCTAACTCGCAAGGGCAAGGCAACCAACAATGGCGAAATGACCAAGGTAGTTCAAATCAAGGGAATTGGAGTAACAACAACAACAACTTTTCAAATCGGAGTTCAAACCCCTATGTTCCACCAAAGGGGCTATATTCCAACTCCCCACATTGGAAGGAAAGTTCTTCAAGTGATTCCAAGTTGGAAAACATGCTTGAACGTGTATTGCAAAATCAAGAAAGATCCGACACTTC